TCTCTATCAGCCCAGAACTAAAACAATTTCCAAGGCCAACTCTTCAGACAGGGATTAGACTGGACTGTGGGAGATAAAGTGATACTTGTGAAGAGTGTGCCTCTTAACTCAAGTAGATACGAGACTAAACAGGCAGCTTCTGTTCAGAGGTGCGACGGGAAGGCAGAAAGGGTTAGCAGCTGGTTGAATGGACATGGGGAGTGGAGAGGAGAGGAGTGTGCTGTCACAGTATAGGCAGAACAATTAGGCTCACGTAACAATGTATATGTAAATTTTTGTATGGGAGACTGACTTGAAATGTAAACTTCATTTAAACCACAGTAAAAAAAAAAAAAAAAAAAATCATACCATCCTTACCTACTGAAGCCAAGTTTCTGAAGGTTTCCATCATCACATCTCTGTAGAGTTTCCTCTGAGAAACATCCAGCAAAACCCACTCTTCCTGGGTAAAGTCCACGGCCACATCCTCAACAACCACTGAGTCCTAAAACATTCCATATATTCTGGATCAGCAAGGTACCATGTAATCCAATGTGTGCAAAAGAAGGGTGAAACTGACAGTTCTGGAAAAATGAGAATTCATAGGGATTTGATACAAGGTTCTGTGTTCTCGAAAGGCCTGCTTTAGGATTTAGCCATCAGCCTCTTCCCTTCGTTGTCTACATTCACTTCCTGACTGCATCCTGTCACCTATGTTTAACACTTCCCTACACACTGAGCTGGTCTCCCCACACACTAATTACAGTCTTATTCTTTTCTATCTTAGTGGACTACAGCAGTCAAAGTACACAGCAGGAATCAGAGAAATGCTCTACAAATGAAAGTCTTATTTCCACATTCATATTGCTTCCTTGCAAAAAAAAGAATTTCACCTCTTTTGATAAAACCCACCAGAACACTCAACACAGCATGAAGACCAGGTTGAAAGCAGGATGAGATATTAACTAAGAAACACTGAAGGACTGGCAGTTTGTCCATTTGCCCCTCACTAGCCATGGGAGGCTCAGGGGTCCAGACAAACTGACAACACAAGGGCCTGAGCTGGTAGTATTTTCTTGAAGAATTCCAGGTGATAAGGAGGTGACAGGACCACCTGCCAAAGAAAAAATATTCTGACACTTATAAATTTTTATGTGTCTGTCACCTGTTTTGCCTCAACTCAGTAATTACACTGTCATCCTCTCTGTTCCTTTTATGGAGTCATGGAAAGGTATCGAAAAGTTAAACAGAGCTGAGGTGAGATACACCAAACATGAGAATTCAGATACCCCAATTCTCAAATTTTGAGACTCAATAGTACTGTACACCAATTATTAGTGACAGCTCCTCTCAAAAAACATAAAACCAAACACCTGTGCAAACACACTCTAATGTTATAAAAAGGAGCCCTATCTCTGCAAGAACCAGAACAGCATGCCGTTGCATTTACT